ACGGAGACATCACTCTATCTCAAACAACAAGCATTAGATTGTCCTGAAATTTTTTCTACAAGTAGAGGTCACTACCAACTGCCTTCTGTGAAAATTTCAGCCTGATGAGTTGTGCCGTTAATTTAAAAAAAATAGTGATAGGTTTATTACACCAAAAAGTATAATTATTCCACAACAAACGTAAAACGGGGAAATCACTCTATCTCAAACAACAAACATCAGATTGGCCTGAAATTTTTTCTACAAGTAGAAGTCATTACCATCTGCCTTCAGAGAAAATTTCAGCTTGATGAGTTGTGCCGTTAATTTTAAAGAAATAGTGATAGGTTTATTACACAAAAAAGTATAATTATTCCACAACAAACGTAAAACGGGAAAATCACTCTATCTCAAACAACAAACATCAGATTGGCCTGAAATTTTTTCTACAAGTAGAAGTCATTACCAACTGCCTTCAGAGAAAATTTCAGCTTGATGAGTTGTGCCGTTAATTTTTAAAAAATAGTGATAGGTTTATTACACCAAAAAGTATAATTATTCCACAACAAACGTAAAACGGGGAAATCACTCTATCTCAAACAACAAACATCAGATTGGCCTGAAATTTTTTCTACAAGTAGAAGTCATTACCAACTGTCTTCTGTAAAAATTTCAGCTTGATGAGTTGTGCCGTTAATTTTAAAGAAATAGTGATAGGTTTATTACACAAAAAAGTATAATTATTCCACAACAAACGTAAAACGGGAAAATCACTCTATCTCAAACAACAAACATCAGATTGGCCTGAAATTTTTTCTACAAGTAGAAGTCATTACCAACTGCCTTCTGTGAAAATTTCAGCTTGATGAGATGTGCCGTTAATTTAAAAAAAATAGTGATAGGTTTATTACACCAAAAAGTATAATTATTCCACAACAAACGTAAAACGGGGAAATCACTCTATCTCAAACAACAAACATCAAATTGGCCTGAAATTTTTTCTACAAGTAGATGTCATTACCAGCTGCCTTCTATAAAAATTTCAGCTTGATAAGTTGTGCCTTTAATTTTTAAAAAATAGTGATAAGTTTATTAAACAAAAAAAGTTTAATTATTCCACAACAAACGTAAAACGGGGAAATCACTCTATCTCAAACAACAAACATCAGATTGGCCTGAAATTTTTTCTACAAGTAGAAGTCATTACCAACTGCCTTCTGTGAAAATTTCAGCTTGATGAGATGTGCCGTTAATTTTAAAAAAATAGTGATAGGTTTATTACACCAAAAAGTATAATTATTCCACAACAAACGTAAAACGGGGAAATCACTCTATCTCAAACAACAAACATCAGATTGGCCTGAAATTTTTTCTACAAGTAGAAGTCATTACCAACTGTCTTCTGCGAAAATTTCAGCTTGATGAGTTGTGCCGTTAATTTAAAAAAAATAGTGATAGGTGTATTACACTAAAAAGTATAATTATTCCACAATAAACGTTAAACGGAGACATCACTCTATCTCAAACAACAAGCATTAGATTGTCCTGAAATTTTTTCTACAAGTAGAGGTCACTACCAACTGCCTTCTGTGAAAATTTCAGCCTGATGAGTTGTGCCGTTAATTTAAAAAAAATAGTGATAGGTTTATTACACCAAAAAGTATAATTATTCCACAACAAACGTAAAACGGGGAAATCACTCTATCTCAAACAACAAACATCAGATTGGCCTGAAATTTTTTCTACAAGTAGATGTCATTACCAGCTGCCTTCTATAAAAATTTCAGCTTGATAAGTTGTGCCTTTAATTTTTAAAAAATAGTGATAAGTTTATTAAACAAAAAAAGTTTAATTATTCCACAACAAACGTAAAACGGGGAAATCACTCTATCTCAAACAACAAACATCAGATTGGCCTGAAATTTTTTCTACAAGTAGAAGTCATTACCAACTGCCTTCTGTGAAAATTTCAGCTTGATGAGATGTGCCGTTAATTTTAAAAAAATAGTGATAGGTTTATTACACCAAAAAGTATAATTATTCCACAACAAACGTAAAACGGGGAAATCACTCTATCTCAAACAACAAACATCAGATTGGCCTGAAATTTTTTCTACAAGTAGAAGTCATTACCAACTGTCTTCTGCGAAAATTTCAGCTTGATGAGTTGTGCCGTTAATTTAAAAAAAATAGTGATAGGTGTATTACACTAAAAAGTATAATTATTCCACAATAAACGTTAAACGGAGACATCACTCTATCTCAAACAACAAGCATTAGATTGTCCTGAAATTTTTTCTACAAGTAGAGGTCACTACCAACTGCCTTCTGTGAAAATTTCAGCCTGATGAGTTGTGCCGTTAATTTAAAAAAAATAGTGATAGGTTTATTACACCAAAAAGTATAATTATTCCACAACAAACGTAAAACGGGGAAATCACTCTATCTCAAACAACAAACATCAGATTGGCCTGAAATTTTTTCTACAAGTAGAAGTCATTACCATCTGCCTTCAGAGAAAATTTCAGCTTGATGAGTTGTGCCGTTAATTTAAAAAAAAATAGTGATAGGTTTATTACACAAAAAAGTATAATTATTCCACAACAAACGTAAAACGGGGAAATCACTCTATCTCAAACAACAAACATCAGATTGGCCTGAAATTTTTTCTACAAGTAGAAGTCATTACCAACTGCCTTCTGTGAAAATTTCAGCTTGATGAGATGTGCCGTTAATTTTAAAAAAATAGTGATAGGTTTATTACACCAAAAAGTATAATTATTCCACAACAAACGTAAAACGGGGAAATCACTCTATCTCAAACAACAAACATCAGATTGGCCTGAAATTTTTTCTACAAGTAGAAGTCATTACCAACTGTCTTCTGCGAAAATTTCAGCTTGATGAGTTGTGCCGTTAATTTAAAAAAAATAGTGATAGGTGTATTACACTAAAAAGTATAATTATTCCACAATAAACGTTAAACGGAGACATCACTCTATCTCAAACAACAAGCATTAGATTGTCCTGAAATTTTTTCTACAAGTAGAGGTCACTACCAACTGCCTTCTGTGAAAATTTCAGCCTGATGAGTTGTGCCGTTAATTTAAAAAAAATAGTGATAGGTTTATTACACCAAAAAGTATAATTATTCCACAACAAACGTAAAACGGGGAAATCACTCTATCTCAAACAACAAACATCAGATTGGCCTGAAATTTTTTCTACAAGTAGAAGTCATTACCATCTGCCTTCAGAGAAAATTTCAGCTTGATGAGTTGTGCCGTTAATTTTAAAGAAATAGTGATAGGTTTATTACACAAAAAAGTATAATTATTCCACAACAAACGTAAAACGGGAAAATCACTCTATCTCAAACAACAAACATCAGATTGGCCTGAAATTTTTTCTACAAGTAGAAGTCATTACCAACTGCCTTCAGAGAAAATTTCAGCTTGATGAGTTGTGCCGTTAATTTTTAAAAAATAGTGATAGGTTTATTACACCAAAAAGTATAATTATTCCACAACAAACGTAAAACGGGGAAATCACTCTATCTCAAACAACAAACATCAGATTGGCCTGAAATTTTTTCTACAAGTAGAAGTCATTACCAACTGTCTTCTGTAAAAATTTCAGCTTGATGAGTTGTGCCGTTAATTTTAAAGAAATAGTGATAGGTTTATTACACAAAAAAGTATAATTATTCCACAACAAACGTAAAACGGGAAAATCACTCTATCTCAAACAACAAACATCAGATTGGCCTGAAATTTTTTCTACAAGTAGAAGTCATTACCAACTGCCTTCTGTGAAAATTTCAGCTTGATGAGATGTGCCGTTAATTTAAAAAAAATAGTGATAGGTTTATTACACCAAAAAGTATAATTATTCCACAACAAACGTAAAACGGGGAAATCACTCTATCTCAAACAACAAACATCAGATTGGCCTGAAATTTTTTCTACAAGTAGAAGTCATTACCAACTGCCTTCTGTGAAAATTTCAGCTTGATGAGATGTGCCGTTAATTTAAAAAACTACAAGGGACAACCCAATGGGGTTGTACGAAATGATGACGTAGGACAACGTGGTATGATATAATAAATATTTTTGTTAACTGCAGCAGGAGTTTGTGTTTTGTGTAGGAATAGGAATTTTAGTTGGGTTCTCTGATTATTCTCTATGATTGCCCTCAGATTAACCAACCAAGACCAAGGCGCGTACAACCGAGGCGGTTTTTATTGATTATTTTGTATTTCGACTGGAACACTGGAAACGCACTACTTACCCCAACACAACAAATGAATGCAAATGATTGTCGGTACTGGATTAGCAGTGGTAGATCTCATACCAGTAACAACCAACTTAGGTTAAATCTAATAATCTTCAACTGAAAAAAATCATCATTCGATCACATCCCTACCACCTTTGAAATCCCGACAAGGAAGTTAATCAAAATCACCTTTTTAATTCATTTGATGGCCCTGAAAAGGGCCGGTTTTTTAGTCTGAGTCGATGATGCTACCCTAATAAAATTGTTATGGTTATTTTGCTTAACGACGTGTTCTGGGTATCGTCCAAACCATTTGTGGAAAAGTTCAATTATTTGGGTTATCGTTCGTTTATGGTTATTTTTTATTAGGGTAATTTATCCTCCGAAACCGTACAGAGTGCGTCCCTGTCGCTTCAGAGCGTAAACGACATCCATCGCGGTGACCGTCTTCCTCTTAGCGTGTTCGGTGTAAGTAACAGCATCACGGATAACGTTCTCCAAAAATACCTTCAACACACCTCTAGTTTCCTCGTAAATAAGCCCAGAAATTCGCTTGACTCCACCACGACGAGCCAGACGACGGATTGCAGGTTTAGTAATACCCTGAATGTTGTCACGCAGCACTTTTCGATGACGCTTTGCTCCTCCTTTGCCGAGTCCTTTTCCTCCCTTGCCGCGTCCAGTCATTGGGGGAGATGGTTTGTTTATTGTTGATGAAGGATGAGACGAAAGTGAACAAAAATTCCAAATTTCGGCTTTTTTATACCTACTCGAGGGTTAAATTCTTCTTGTTAGTTGTTGTATTCTTGTTCTTTCATCGTTTCTGATTGGTTGATCACAGCAAACGCATGTTATAAAACAGAATGGAAGTCGTTTTTATTTTTTATTCCACAGTTAGCTTTCAACGTGAAAACATCGGATAAAGGAAAATGGCTCGCACCAAGCAGACCGCTCGCAAGTCCACTGGAGGAAAGGCTCCTCGCAAGCAGTTGGCAACGAAGGCCGCTCGCAAAAGCGCTCCAGCCACCGGAGGAGTAAAGAAGCCTCATCGCTTCCGGCCAGGCACCGTCGCCCTGCGTGAGATCCGTCGTTATCAGAAATCGACCGAACTGCTGATCCGCAAGTTGCCTTTCCAGCGTCTGGTCCGTGAAATTGCCCAGGACTTCAAGACCGATCTGCGCTTCCAGAGCTCAGCTGTTATGGCTCTACAGGAAGCTAGCGAGGCTTATCTGGTCGGTCTGTTCGAAGATACCAACCTGTGTGCCATCCACGCCAAGCGTGTCACAATCATGCCAAAGGACATCCAGCTGGCTCGTCGTATCCGTGGTGAACGCGCTTAATTTCCCCGTCGAAAATCTTACCAAACCGGCCCTTTTCAGGGCCACTAAGTTCATATAAAAAAAGAGTTGGAATAGATTTCTTAAAGAACTACAAAAATAGTTTTCACCAAGTCATGGCTATTTTTTATCATTGATGGCGCTGTTCCATTGATAGTAAGTTAGAAATTTGGAAAAGTGGATGGAACGCTTTGGATGCATATTATGGTGAAAATAAGTCAAAAATCATTCATTAACGTTTAGTTTTTTTTTCCTAGAAATTTTTGATAAATAGTATTTTCTTACAGGCTGAATTTGTATGTATTTTTTATGCAGAATATGCTAAATGGGAGGGACTTCAAATGTTAGTCCTTCCTCCCCCACCAAATGTTACAGAGTGTCATCAAAGTACATGGAATGTTGAGATATTGAGAGTGAATTTTCTCTTTCAAATTTTAATGTTTTGGCTCTGGGGATTGGTAGTAAAGCGGTTAAAACGGTATGGGAAAAAACAGACCTGCTTTTAACGAATTAAACCTAATTGGAGTTGGGAATGCATCCATTTACGCGTATACGTTCAAAGCTATTAATAAAAAGGTAACTAAATTTTAAATTTTTCCCTTCATTTCAAAAGTCTGTAAATATCTGTGAAAAAACTAAAAAGTCTGTAACGAAAAAAAAGTCTGTGAAAAAAATAAAAGTCTGTGAATTCACAGACATGTCTGTGAATCTGGCATCTCTGACAGCAGCGACGGACGTTTCAATGTTTCATTCTAGCTTGTTTTGGTTGTTTGCGCTGTGCATGCCACAGCTGCTGCATAGAAGCCGATTTTCCCATATTCCTGCATATTGAAATTCCAGAATGAGCGATAGCGAGAATCGATGTGACTTTTGTCACTAGTGAAGTGAGAGAAGTCACGTCGTGGTGACGTGACTCTCTGTGGAAATCAAATGGAGAGTAACGTCACCACGACGTGTCTTTTCTCACTTCACTAGTGAAAAAAGTCACTTCGACTCTTGGAAAATAACCCCTACTTTATTTTTTACTGCCCAAGTTAGAAGCAGCACAAAGCACCAAAGTGACTGCGATCAGTTTGCTGTTTTTGCAATCGTTCACAGCTGAAATCGGCGAAGGGAACTTGGTCGAAATCAGAATGTGAACGAAGTCAAAGCAAAAATGTGTCGTGTGTTCGATTGGCGCTCTGTCGCTGCGTCCCTGTTTGGGAATTTACGTTACATGTTCCATTTTCGGTTTTCACAAAGTGTACCCCCATATAGAAATCACAGACGTAGTCCTACGTCAAAAAATAGTGATAGGTTTATTACACAAAAAAGTATAATTATTCCACAACAAACGTAAAACGGGGAAATCACTCTATCTCAAACAACAAACATCAGATTGGCCTGAAATTTTTTCTACAAGTAGAAGTCATTACCAACTGCCTTCTGTGAAAATTTCAGCTTGATGAGATGTGCCGTTAATTTTAAAAAAATAGTGATAGGTTTATTACAAAAAAAGTATAATTATTCCACAACAAACGTAAAACGGGGAAATCACTCTATCTCAAACAACAAACATCAGATTGGCCTGAAATTTTTTCTACAAGTAGAAGTCATTACCAACTGCCTTCTGTGAAAATTTCAGCTTGATGAGTTGTGCCGTTAATTTTAAAGAAATAGTGATAGGTTTATTACACAAAAAAGTATAATTATTCCACAACAAACGTAAACCGGGGAAATCACTCTATCTCTAACCCCAACCGTCAGATTGGCCTGAAATTTTTTCTACAAGTAGATGTCATTACCAACTGCCTTCTATAAAAATTTCAGCTTGATAAGTTGTGCCGTTAATTTTTAAAAAATAGTGATAGGTTTATTACACCAAAAAGTATAATTATTCCACAACAAACGTAAAACGGGGAAATCACTCTATCTCAAACAACAAACATCAGATTGGCCTGAAATTTTTTCTACAAGTAGAAGTCATTACCAACTGCCTTCTGTGAAAATTTCAGCTTGATGAGATGTGCCGTTAATTTTAAAAAAATAGTGATAGGTTTATTACACCAAAAAGTATAATTATTCCACAACAAACGTAAAACGGGGAAATCACTCTATCTCAAACAACAAACATCAGATTGGCCTGAAATTTTTTCTACAAGTAGAAGTCATTACCAACTGTCTTCGGCGAAAATTTCAGCTTGATGAGTTGTGCCGTTAATTTAAAAAAAATAGTGATAGGTGTATTACACTAAAAAGTATAATTATTCCACAATAAACGTTAAACGGAGACATCACTCTATCTCAAACAACAAGCATTAGATTGTCCTGAAATTTTTTCTACAAGTAGAGGTCACTACCAACTGCCTTCTGTGAAAATTTCAGCCTGATGAGTTGTGCCGTTAATTTAAAAAAAATAGTGATAGGTTTATTACACCAAAAAGTATAATTATTCCACAACAAACGTAAAACGGGGAAATCACTCTATCTCAAACAACAAACATCAGATTGGCCTGAAATTTTTTCTACAAGTAGAAGTCATTACCATCTGCCTTCAGAGAAAATTTCAGCTTGATGAGTTGTGCCGTTAATTTTAAAAAAAATAGTGATCGGTTTATTACACAAAAAAGTATAATTATTCCACAACAAACGTAAAACGAGGAATTAACTCTATCTCAAACAACAAACATCAGATTGGCCTGAAATTTTTTCTACAAGTAGAAGTCATTACCAACTGCCTTCTATAAAAATTTCAGCTTGATAAGTTGTGCCGTTAATTTTTAAAAAATAGTGATAGGTTTATTACACCAAAAAGTATAATTATTCCACAACAAACGTAAAACGGGGAAATCACTCTATCTCAAACAACAAACATCAGATTGGCCTGAAATTTTTTCTACAAGTAGAAGTCATTACCAACTGCCTTCTGTGAAAATTTCAGCTTGATGAGATGTGCCGTTAATTTTAAAAAAATAGTGATAGGTTTATTACACCAAAAAGTATAATTATTCCACAACAAACGTAAAACGGGGAAATCACTCTATCTCAAACAACAAACATCAGATTGGCCTGAAATTTTTTCTACAAGTAGAAGTCATTACCAACTGTCTTCTGCGAAAATTTCAGCTTGATGAGTTGTGCCGTTAATTTAAAAAAAATAGTGATAGGTGTATTACACTAAAAAGTATAATTATTCCACAATAAACGTTAAACGGAGACATCACTCTATCTCAAACAACAAGCATTAGATTGTCCTGAAATTTTTTCTACAAGTAGAGGTCACTACCAACTGCCTTCTGTGAAAATTTCAGCCTGATGAGTTGTGCCGTTAATTTAAAAAAAATAGTGATAGGTTTATTACACCAAAAAGTATAATTATTCCACAACAAACGTAAAACGGGGAAATCACTCTATCTCAAACAACAAACATCAGATTGGCCTGAAATTTTTTCTACAAGTAGAAGTCATTACCATCTGCCTTCAGAGAAAATTTCAGCTTGATGAGTTGTGCCGTTAATTTTAAAGAAATAGTGATAGGTTTATTACACAAAAAAGTATAATTATTCCACAACAAACGTAAAACGGGAAAATCACTCTATCTCAAACAACAAACATCAGATTGGCCTGAAATTTTTTCTACAAGTAGAAGTCATTACCAACTGCCTTCTGTGAAAATTTCAGCTTGATGAGTTGTGCCGTTAATTTTAAAGAAATAGTGATAGGTTTATTACACAAAAAAGTATAATTATTCCACAACAAACGTAAACCGGGGAAATCACTCTATCTCTAACCCCAACCGTCAGATTGGCCTGAAATTTTTTCTACAAGTAGATGTCATTACCAACTGCCTTCTATAAAAATTTCAGCTTGATAAGTTGTGCCGTTAATTTTTAAAAAATAGTGATAGGTTTATTACACCAAAAAGTATAATTATTCCACAACAAACGTAAAACGGGGAAATCACTCTATCTCAAACAACAAACATCAGATTGGCCTGAAATTTTTTCTACAAGTAGAAGTCATTACCAACTGCCTTCTGTGAAAATTTCAGCTTGATGAGATGTGCCGTTAATTTTAAAAAAATAGTGATAGGTTTATTACACCAAAAAGTATAATTATTCCACAACAAACGTAAAACGGGGAAATCACTCTATCTCAAACAACAAACATCAGATTGGCCTGAAATTTTTTCTACAAGTAGAAGTCATTACCAACTGTCTTCGGCGAAAATTTCAGCTTGATGAGTTGTGCCGTTAATTTAAAAAAAATAGTGATAGGTGTATTACACTAAAAAGTATAATTATTCCACAATAAACGTTAAACGGAGACATCACTCTATCTCAAACAACAAGCATTAGATTGTCCTGAAATTTTTTCTACAAGTAGAGGTCACTACCAACTGCCTTCTGTGAAAATTTCAGCCTGATGAGTTGTGCCGTTAATTTAAAAAAAATAGTGATAGGTTTATTACACCAAAAAGTATAATTATTCCACAACAAACGTAAAACGGGGAAATCACTCTATCTCAAACAACAAACATCAGATTGGCCTGAAATTTTTTCTACAAGTAGAAGTCATTACCATCTGCCTTCAGAGAAAATTTCAGCTTGATGAGTTGTGCCGTTAATTTAAAAAAAATAGTGATAGGTTTATTACACAAAAAAGTATAATTATTCCACAACAAACGTAAAACGGGGAAATCACTCTATCTCAAACAACAAACATCAGATTGGCCTGAAATTTTTTCTACAAGTAGAAGTCATTACCATCTGCCTTCAGAGAAAATTTCAGCTTGATGAGTTGTGCCGTTAATTTTAAAAAAAATAGTGATCGGTTTATTACACAAAAAAGTATAATTATTCCACAACAAACGTAAAACGAGGAATTAACTCTATCTCAAACAACAAACATCAGATTGGCCTGAAATTTTTTCTACAAGTAGAAGTCATTACCAACTGCCTTCTATAAAAATTTCAGCTTGATAAGTTGTGCCGTTAATTTTTAAAAAATAGTGATAGGTTTATTACACCAAAAAGTATAATTATTCCACAACAAACGTAAAACGGGGAAATCACTCTATCTCAAACAACAAACATCAGATTGGCCTGAAATTTTTTCTACAAGTAGAAGTCATTACCAACTGCCTTCTGTGAAAATTTCAGCTTGATGAGATGTGCCGTTAATTTTAAAAAAATAGTGATAGGTTTATTACACCAAAAAGTATAATTATTCCACAACAAACGTAAAACGGGGAAATCACTCTATCTCAAACAACAAACATCAGATTGGCCTGAAATTTTTTCTACAAGTAGAAGTCATTACCAACTGTCTTCTGCGAAAATTTCAGCTTGATGAGTTGTGCCGTTAATTTAAAAA